AATTTAGCCTTAGTGACGAATTACAAGAAGCAAGAAATGCACTTAGTCATGCTCATAAGTGATGATGCACATGAAATGCTTATGCTTAACACCCAGGATGCTACACTCAAGCACATAAATATTGGACAGATGAACTATTTGATTGCCTTGTTGCCATAAATCAGTTAACCCAAGTTTTCCACTAACATATTATTAACTCTTTAAAAAAAGTGGACAATTACACACCATACAAGCAACAATGCATCCATGAGATGTTTTCCCTTTTACTGGTGAAAAATGTGACATTTGTTCTATAGAATATATCTTTTCCACAATGGTGAACTAGATGATGATAACCTAACACCTGAGCTCCGTATACGGGTTAGCTGAGATACTATCCATTGCATCCCACTAGCATCTCATGGAAAGCTTCAACATTAATTGCTACTAGTAACCAACTACATTATATCTCTATATATAAATGCATGCACTTCTGTTTCACAATATATAGTATAGACTACCCCAAAATCCTTGTGAGGGCCACAAGAAGTTGAAACTCCTAGTCCAGCAGTTTCCACAGTCATGTGGAACATGTTCTCTATGCCATAGCTCCTACAAAATGGTCGAATGTCTTACTTCCTCTCACAAACACCCTTCATGTACTACACTGCCACTCCTCATAAAAGCCTTCCAAGAATCAAATAGATCAGACATTAAATATTAGGGAGGATTCCTTTGGTGCCCAGGGATGATAATGCAAGCGAAGGAATGGAGAAAAAGACCAAGGAACAATGTGGAAAACATTAATGCCACTCCCCTACTTTGGTTTGTATTTATAATCAAGGGGATGGTCTAAGTTATTGAGATCCATTGAATTACTCTGGTGTAGATATTTGAATAAATGTTATCAAAATATAATCCACCTTGGATCGTGGATGCAGGACACCACTTCAAGTGAGCCCTATAATTTACGCCACACAATGTGGAAAACATTTCTATCCAAATCATCAATTTTTTCTTGGTGTTTTCTAAATCTTCCCTTTTGTTTCTTCACTTTTCTTTTGTCATCACTAGTGTTTCTATTTTCATGTTGTTTTGTACTTATGGATGGAAAATATCCATTTTGAATTTTTAGGGCTTCAAGAAATCTAGAATGTTGTAGAAAGGAATTAGCGAAGATCAAATTTGATCTCTGATTTATTGTGCTTGTGGGTTTTTCTTATATGGGAATTTCAGGTTGTACATGTTGTGTATGATTTACTTTCTATCATGTGACTTTATCGAGCAACTTTCAAATTTTTGCATTTCACCTTTTTGGTGAGGTTTTTGTTGTAGTTAGGCTCTGTGCCATTGCATGGATAGGAATTAAAACACAAGATTGTATGATCATGACACAAATTACTGTGAATGGGGTTACTAATTTGTTGAAATATTTGAAAAAAAATGAATTGTATAACTTTCGTTGATATACCTACTTTCAAACTGCAACCAAAAAGCTATGAAGTGAAATTAAGCAATATATATTTAGTACAGTTCCATAGTTTGGTGATTGATTTTAGAAGCCATTTATGAGTAACTTTAATGATATGCCAATGTTAATACAAGTGGTTTAAAAATTAATAAAATTGAACCCCTGGTTACATTTTGAAAACTAAACTATATATCTGCATGCCTGACACTTGTCAAGACATAAGTATGTGCTATCTTAATAGTTACTGTAATACTTAAGAAGTAGGAAAACATCAATTCTGAACTTCCACCTATTTTTTAGAGGAAATTTATGACTTCCTCAAGGAAGATGGTATTCGAGAATAAACCATCTAGTAAAACAAAAATGATTTTATGTCACTTAAAACACTACATTTAATGATAGTAACTCATCCATATTCCCTCTTCTATCATTGACATGATTGTTAGCTGGTTCATTGAAACAATTTATCAAATACATTCTATTGGATCTGAACTTTCAGATCCATATTCATCTACCACCAGCACCTAGATCACACATCACTTTCTTTCTTGATCACCAACATAGGCCATTGAAGCTACAATGCACTGACCTCTAATACTGCCAAACTGACATCTAACCTTTCAATCCATTGTTGTTGTCCCAATCACATGGTTATTGATGCCTTTGTGTCTCTTTGTGGTGAATTGTTGGTAATTATATTTCAAGCGGACATGATGGCAGCAACCATATTACGACAGATAAAATGATCTATTTTTAATTCAAACATCCATATTACTATCACTTGTTTAATTGCATAATTGAATAGTAGACCATATACTCAGACTAATATGACGAAAATAAATGCTACTAATTAGTGCAATATAGTAGAAAAGAAAGGTAAACTTGGAGATTTCAATTCATGGGTCTGGTGCAGATAGATATTTGCACTTCTAAACTCTAATGATTAAGACACAACGTTACTCCTACTACCTCATGACTCTTTTGACCACCTTCCAACTCCTTGAACTGATCATTTCTCCAACATTAAGATGATGAAATTGGATTGATACATTGGGAGGTATATCCATATAACATTTCATTCAAAATTGTACATTCAATTGTTAAGCTTCTCCCAGTCTGTTACATCTTTGTAGTTGTCTATGCAGAGAGTAGGTACTCATCAATGGATCAACACAAATGAAACACATGGTGAAACTAAAATGGAAAATGAACACTTCCATTCTTTAATTAAATTAAAAAGATGATTAAATTCCACAAATGGTAAACTCGAGGACTACAAGATTTAAGTGAAGTGGAGGGATTAACTACAAGGTTTCATGCTACTATAGTCTAGAGTTCATTAATGTGTATTTGGCTTCTATTTTCTTCTCTTTGTGGAGTCATCTCAGAACATAAAATATGTATAGTTTGATGAGGCTTTGTCTTCTTCGTTGTATCCAGGTGCAACCTGAATTTAGGAACCTGACACAAATATTTTCCTTTATGCATCGATATTCTATATTTCATTTTTTGTTATTATTTCCCTTATACTATTTTGTTTTTCTCGAACACACAGGAGAGCTGCGTATCATTATATTAAGAAGAAGAAAAGGAGTCTAAGAAGACTCAAAACACAAAACAAGCCCATTAGGGCATGAGTTTACATAAGTGATTAGCCAGGAAGACAAGAAACGTTTTCCCTTATACTATGATACAAACAATATTTGTGAAATTAGTAATATTTTTAAAAAGTGGATTAGCATATAATAACTCATAAATATTAAGAACTAACAGGGGAATGCCCAGACCGCCATTGCATCTCGTGGCCATCACACCTTTAGTTCAATAGATACTTGTGTGGGCCATGTTGTTCCCTTCCTTTTCCACTTGGTCACTCCTCTTAGTTAACTTTTATCTTGTCAATATTGTACACTAAAATGACTGACTAGTAGAAGTGTAGTTCAGGGATGCCTGAACCAAGCAATGGCTTTGATGGATACTAGGTTATTACTTACAAGCTAGCACCGACACAACCAAATTAAAATGGCATTGTATGTAAGTGAATTATGCTAGCATTCAAACTAACCTTGGTCCAAAATTTAGTTGTGGCTATATATTTTAATCAATCTACTTGGAACCATTGCTAGTGATAACAAAAAAGTTTAGAATTATAGGGGTGGGGCAATTCATTTAACATGTTGTGGTTTGTGTGGCATATTCTAGTACTAGCGCCTTCTATTGGGTTACATGCACTGACCGGTTCAACCCAAAAGCTTAAGCTGATGAGGAAGGTGGACAACTCACTTTATATTTTAACACTTCCCCTCACATGGAGGCTCCCTCAGGCCTTAAACGTGGAATATGGGCGAGAAACAATTGTTTTTTATTTAATTGTGCTCATTAGAATTTGAACTCGAGAATTCTAGCCCCCATATCATATCCTCAGATCATATTGAGTTGTGTGCATCGACTATGAAAAAGGCAGGCAATTCACTTTATATATGAACACCTTCTAACATTGAACGGTTAGTTGAGTATATTTTTGTACATATCATTTAGATCCATATTTTGTAAACCAATTATGTCTATGGAATTGTTCATGTGTATTGATGGCTATTTTATAATGTATTCATTAAATACATAGATGGAAACATAAATAATTATATTTAAAGCTTTATGTTTTTTCTCTAGTTTTGTTTTCTATTGAATCAAAGATTTAACTATTTAAATGCTAAAATACCATATATCGCTTTTTACTGAATCAACCAATAAAATAGTTTTATGACCTACTCACTTTGTCATTGCTAGAGATTTTAAGATAGATTAAGAGAGAAGATAAAAGACATACTAACCCTGACTTTTACTATGTTTGATTGAGCTACTTTTTAGCCATGAAATAGTGTTTTCCTCTCACAACATTTTGGCATAAGCATCAGCATAAGCGAATAGAGTATTTATTTCCTAATAAAGCTATCAATCCACGTAACTAAAGGGGGATGATTGCTTGATAAATGACAGGTAACTGTAATATTTGTGTGCCTATTTAATGCAACATTGTTCTTGTCTCCAAATCCCTTATTTTTGCATATAATTTTTTTAATGTTTCTATACACTATATTCTAGGATGAAGAGAGTACCTAGCATATCGAATTCATAAGTATGTGTGTCTTAATCTAATTTTGTTGTTGGATGAGAACATGGAAATATGTATATGAAAATGTTTCAGGGTTCCAAATGCACAACAAAAATTTGCAATAACACTCTTAGTAGCGAATTAAGTGGACTTTGTTATGCCAACTAGTTCCATAATATACACTTCTTTTGGTTACAATTTATTTTATCATACATTTTCGCTTTATTGTTATGCTGTTGTAGACTTCTTTTTTGAGATATGTGCAAATCTATATTAGTTAGTTTCTTTACCTACATACATGTGTTCATATTAACCAAAAGTTATAAAGTAAAAATTGACACATCTATGATTTAGCACAAATAAATTTGTATTGAATCTCATTTCTAATCAATTTTCTTATGTTTGCCTTCACCAAAGGAACATAATAATAATGCGGATATGGCCAATGAGCATTCTGGAGCTGAAACTAGCCTATTAGGCTTAAGATTGAATAAAGATGAATTGCTTAAGATGATCTGGAAAGAGTTTTCTCAAGATATTAGAGCAAAAGGAAGATACGGACCTACTATTGCTTCTCTTAATGTTCCGGACACACAATCTTCTGTTACAACGCTACCACTAAAGCCTTCCAAATTATATGCTCACATTCTCAGAATTGGGACTTGGCAGGTTAGTTTCCTACACCTAAGTGCTCCTCCTAGTAATTATTTTTAGAATATTCTATAATCTATATGTTGTGTTGTTATAGTTCAAAATAGTCATCACGAAAAAGGTTTAGAATGGAGTCCAATTATTTTACAAAATTACTTTTGTGAAGTTTCAAAATAGTGTCAGGCAAACATAATATTGAATTTGGTAAAGCAACTAATAAGAGAGACATATCAAGCATTTACCATTTTCATAGACTATCACTATTTATGTTTACATGTAAATCTTTTGAATTGGCAGTGGACGTCGAGGTATGATGGAGATCTTGTTGCAAAGTTTTACTATGCAAACAATAGATTGGTCTGGGAGATTCTCGATGCAGGTCTAAAGAGGAAGATTGAGATAAATTGGGAGAATATATCTGCCTTGAAGGTGATTTGCCCAGATGGTGGACCTGGAACTCTCGAGATTATGGTATGAATGTGAATGAGTAATGTTATCCAAAATATTTTTTTGATGAAAAATATAATATGTTCTTTACTTCTAACACTATGAGTGGTCTAATTAGTTGTATCAGAGGCCAAGATTTTTTAGAGAAACCAACCAGCAGCCAGGAAAGACTACAATGTGGCTAGGGACCAAAGATTTTACTGGTGGGCAAGCAAGCATACACAGGTAAATACGAGATAAACATATAATATAATTATGTATTCATTAGCCAAACAAAGATATCTTTGTATATTGGAGAATTCATAATGTCTGACAAAGTCTAATAGAGTTTTCTTACAACTTAGAAAACAATTAAAGGCTCTTTAATTTTAGTGAAAAAATACATGTCACTATTGCAGGGCGTCGGATTATCAGTTCACCTTTCATGAGTGATACCAAAATATTATATAGGTCATTCTGCTAGGGATAACTGTGTCTTGCAATTTAAAATTGGTGCAATCCAAAAAGGAAGTAGATGCACGGTCCAGTAAATTAAAGTAGTATATAAAACTAATAACATAAAATTCAATTAATAGTTCATGAAAAAATAAATTAGAAACTATTAAAGGTATTTAGGGAATGTTGTGGCACAATGTGTGTATCTATTTTTCCACTCAACTGTATGACAAGTAGTAGATGGTGAACTGCTAGAATGTTTTGAGTCTAGACACCATCGGAAATATTTAGTATAGGAGTGACGATGAGGTAACATGCGCTACGAATATGAAGCAAGAAAATTTTATTACAACCGGTTTGTATATACAAAGAATGGTCTTGATATATGGTGAATTTGTATGCATACCACCAATATTTTATTTTAATCATCACATGTTTACATTTGTTTTCTTGATTAAAAAGGTCCTGTTTATTTTCTTTGTTTCAGAAGGCATGTTCTGCAGTGTGCAACAGAGATATTGAACAAACACATTGTGAAACTTCTCTCCAGTAACTATCGTCTATATTCATTGAGCCAGGAAGACAATATTGTTCAGCTTGATCCTTATTTTGAGCAAGGGTATTCAGAGTCTCAAGTTCCTGAGAGTTCCAACGCCAATGATTTATATCACTGTTATGATTATCAACGGTTTTGGGGACAAAAATTTGGGGAGAAGGTTTCTATGTCAGTTGGAACAAACATTGGTGAAAGAAATCATAATGGATCCCAGAATGGCATGTCTACACTCGACCCAAGCTCAGGTAAACTTTCAAAAGCCAGTACTGTAGTGTTTCCGTCCACTGCTTGTGTTTACAGGAAGGTTAAACAGTGGACCACAAGTTGTATTATGTGCTCATGTCCATGTGCAAAGTGTAGCAGATCATGACTTCTCATTTTCCGAACCATTCTGAATGAGCACAATATTATTCCAAATATCTTATACCGTCATTATTATGTTGAAATACGGAAGGTAAGGACTGAACAGGAGCAACATATATTTTCTTCAAATTCTCAAATAAACTAGTTCAAATCTTAATTGGTAAATGGTCCTGTTAATTCTAAGATGTTATTATTATTATTATATTAGTTGTATATAAGCTTTCCAGTTCCCTACCCAACCATGGAAGCCCTTATTTCAAACTTCAATCATGATTTGTATGATTTAGGACTTGTTATCGTGGACAAAATACAATCTGATCACCAAACAGGCAAACACCTGACTACCTGAGCCAAACAACACTTCATTTCTATACCAAAGAATTGAAAGTCTAATTTTACAATTTTGTCTTTCTGTCCTTAGTCTCTACAGCTGAAAATTCATGAGTAAATATGTGAAGAAATTAAATTAAATTATACAGCAAAACAACCTGATGACTCTTTAATTTCTAGTTCCAGCTTCTGGTCGTTCCTTAGTGGCCACAGGAGCCCCTTCTGGAGGCCTCCAACAGCACACGAACATGTTTAACCGGTGCAGCACCTCGTCCTTGCAAAAACCTACACAGAATCCTTATCTTGAACAATGGCGCTCAGAACCTGAAATCCTAGAGAATTCCAGTGCACAAGATTTATATCGCCGTAATGATTATCAACAATTTGTGGGACCACAATTCAGAGAAACAATTCCCATGTCAATTGGAACAAACATCATAAGGAGAAATCATAATGGATTGCTGGATGGCATGCCTATACTGACCCGATGCTCAGGTACACTTTGGAACATCAGAATTTATACTACTACTATTTGTTGACAAAAGGTTATACTTGAGAACCACAAGTTGTGCTCTTGCCAATGCGCATTTTTTTAATGTTTCTCACAGTGCAAATATTGGTCCCAGTGCCATATACTCCTACTATCTTTAGGTCGAGTTTTCCTATTATCTTGAATGTTTCACTCAGAATGAAAGGACAGAATAGAAGCAACTTTTGCTATTTTTCGCACCTACTCAAATGAACTTATTCAAATCTTAGTTGGTATATACTGATATATGATCATTGTACTTCTACATGTACTGTGATTATATATATATGTCTAGTTTCCCAAGTGTCTATCTAGTGATTCCATTGAAATTTTATCATCAACAATAAGTGTTCTTGGTAATACTATGGAATCAAATTTATTTGTTTTAGGACTTGTTGGCCTAGTCAAATTGCAAACTTATCACCAGACACCAGTTCAAAGCGGCACTTCCTTTTTTTGTATCAGAGGACTGATAATTTGCATTGATAGTATTACAAGTTTTTCTTTTTTTTATTACTTTGTTTCCACAATTGACAATCTTCCTATCATCATTAAAATACATGACTAAATACAGCAAGAACTGAATCAAATTAAATTACACTGCCTGATTATTCTTTAATTTCCATTTGCAGATCTTGGCCATTCCTCTGCGGTCACAGGTGGTCCTTCAGGTGGCCTTGAGCAGCACAGGAACATGCTCAATTGGAGTCGCGTATCCTCAGAAACGCTTCACCAGGCACAGCTCAATTTCTCCAGTGGTAGGACGGTCATGAACGACATGCTTAACTTTCGTTATATATAGTTCTTCCAATCACTAGAACCCATGTCAAAGTTACACCAAGATATCGATTGTGACCTAACAATGCCTCTTGGTTTCCACGTCTTCAGGCCGTGCCCCTGTGTTCACAGAAACTACTTCTGACAGCCTTCAACAGAGTATAAACATGTTCTACAGTAGCAGCTCGTCCTTGCAAACGACACCTTGCAAGATCGTCACCAGTGGTAGCAGGATCATGGACGACGATGCTGCGAACTACATGGCCAATCCAAGGAAACGGCCGAACCTTCTCACCAGCATGGGTGCCTATGCAGACAGCCATGTACGTCCAGAAGACGTCAGGAAGCTCGTCAAGGACGACATTATTAGGCGAAGCAGCATGAGGGAGCTGGAGCTAAGCCACTATGCTTTCAACGACACTACAACAACACAGAGATTCAAGCAGAACATCAGTTCAGCAACAATGGACGACGCAATGGTGCTTGAGAAGATATCCCGTGATCTCCTTGAAGACAGCGACATGGAGATGGAGCCAACAGGCGCTTCTGAAGATGCCATACTAATGTCAACGATGATCAACTCCCTCTCCAACCTGCTCCAGCCACAGGAGGTGGATGATCCAGATGCAGGAAGCAGTGGCACTGGCGCCGGAGGTGGCAGCTCGTGAGAACTCATCAGGCCTGTAATAGCCGGGTATCCCTGCATAATGGATCTGGATTTGGTGCGGTAGAAATAAATACCCAAGTGGTCTATGAGTGCTTCTTGTGTCGTACTATGTTGATTTACTTTAGTGCGTTGTAAACTTTGTTATTTGTTATATACCTGGCTAAGCTAGCGTTATGATTTCCTAATGATCACTGAAGTCGTTTTGGTACATGAATTCCTTCTCGCCCTGCTACTTGATTGCCATCTTGTGTCGAATCCGTTATTCTGCTGTTATTTGTCTTACAATATACTTCCTCCCTTCCAAATTATAAGACGGTTTTTTTTCTAGATGACGATTTGTTTTTTCTAGATGAGTAACTTTTACTATACACTTAAATAATAAATATACACTATGTCTAAATACTTAGCAAATGTATTGTATCTAAAAAACCAAAACGTCTTATAATTTGGAATGGGTGAGTACATATGTTGACAAGTACTACTCCATTTTGTTTTGTGAGCTTCTCATATGACACTTCGCTTTTTTTTCTTGAGAAGTTCAGCTGCCATTTTCTACGGCGGAGGTCTCGGTATCTCTCACAACTAATAAAAAGAGTAAAAGGTGGACATAGCTTTCGTGCGACCAACCATCGCCTCGTCGGTCTGCCTTCCCCCTGTAATCTGAAAGGTCTTTGTGTGGTTTTGGTAATTAAGTGACAACCTAGGTGGACTAATTGTGTTTACGTAAGATACACAGGTGATTAGTCCACAGGTACATGTGTGTGAGCAACATATGCCATGAAGGTGGAAATGGCTGGGAGATGTTGCAAAGCTCACGCATATGATGATGAAGGAGCTCATTGCACATGAGACATGACATTGAGTCATGTGATCAAGGTTGCAAGAGTAAAGGGCAAGTTGGAGGCTTTTGAGCGATGGACCGCGTGGCGGTGAAGCTTGAGTAAGACTTGGTGCCGATGGACGAAGGCAACGGTGAAAAGCAAGTGAAAGTCAAGATCGATGAACCAATATGATCACGTGATGACATGAAGTGGATCATATCATTGTTGATCGTGTTGGTGCTTGTGTTGCATCGACATTGGAGAAGATGGGATGGAATGCGCAAGGCAAAGGTATAACCTAGGACATTTCATTTCACCGGTCATAGGTGTGTAGAGAAGTTGATGACCGGGTTTAGGATAGATGACCGTACTATCAAGAGGGACAAACTTGTTTGCATATTGGTCATCTAGTGCTACTCGAGTGATCTAACTTTGCATCGTCACTAGGATCGAGTGGTGTGGCAAGTTGAGTGGTTAATCCTTTGAAAAATGATTGTGAAAATGCTAACACACATACACATGGTGGTGTACACTTGGTGGTGTTGATACATTTACAAAGAAGATGAAGTTAGAGTTGATGTGAATCAACTTGACGATGAAATGGAGGCGAGAAGGGGTGACTGTAGCTTCGGCTGAAAGAAGTTTCTCAAAATTGAAGTTGTTGAAGAACTATTTAAGATCAACTATTCACAAGAAAGGTTAAATGTATTGGCTATGTGCACCATCGAGAGTGACATCTTGGATACTATTGATCTCAATATCGTCCTTGATGATTTTGCATCAAGAAATGTCCGAAGAACTATCTTTTTATGAGAAGCAATGGATATTATGGAGTTCTATTTTTCCTTAAGGTAATCATATTAGTTTTAGTCTACATTGTTCCTCGATAATTATCAAACATGTTAAATTAAAAATATATCACTGGATTTGTTTTCGTTTTGCAAGAAAAATTAGCGCTTATATATATTATAAGATTTATATATAGTTTAGAGGGGCCCTCGCGATGAGTTCGTCAGAAGGCCCTCAAAAACTTAGGACCGGCACTGTTATCAAGGCTGTGGTAGTGGCAAAGTTCAGGTGGATGAATACCTACTGAGATGGCTAAGATTGTCAGGATAGTCCTTATCTCCTTGCTCAGCTCTGTTTGGTCATCTTTGGGTGAGATTTTCTCTGAACTGCCTTTTCTGAAAATAGCATCAGCTGGCTGTACCTGAATTGTCTTTGCACTCAGGAAGCAGTTTTCAACTAAATAAAAACCAGATCACAACAGCTATCAGAAACATTCAAATTCAGCTTTTTTTAGGGCGAACAATTAAATTCAGTTGGTTCCATTTTTTATCTACACAGAAAAAAGGGAAGAAGTTCCTTAGCTGTTCCAATTTGCTGAAAGGGAAAAAGTTCCTTAGCTACTATGAACAAACTATGTTGGGTATCATGGGCACTCAATAGGTTACTCTTTTCACCGCTTTTTCGCTATGATCACATTCAGTTTGATCCCTGTCAACAGGCCATCTGCCCACCATCTTTGCTTAATCTGGTACTAAGCTTCTCACAGTTTTCACAGCGCTTCAATACAATAAAACTCCATCTCGTAAAGAGGCAATGAAAGTGACAATAAACCGCTCTAGGGAGGTGCAAAAACACACCTTAAACAGTGAGTCCATCGCAACGGAGAATCCACTCTTTAATCAAAAGATGGAGTGGCCCACTGCAAACTCATCTAGGCCTCATGGACCCAGATGAGTTTGTAGTGATTGGGCTATCCCGGAATCCAGTGCTACACATATTTGCTTCCCACAAGCTACTAAGGAGATAAATATACTGTCTGCTCATATGAGGATCGCATGCGGAAGAGGAGCCTCGTGGAATTTGTATGATTTTGTATATGAGAATACGTGCTTGTAATTTTCTTGCAGTTCATTTCCCGTTCTTCTCTTTAGGTCTATACTGGGATCAATATCCATTGCTGAAGTGGTGAATGGATACAAGGATAATGCAAAGAATAATTTTGTAGGATGGTAATTTTCCCATTATCCTCCAACAATCCTTTCTTTTAGTATGATAATGAATTATGGCATGCTTTTCTTTTTTTCCTAATCACGTTCATTCTCTATCCTGAATTCTAGGTCACCAGATGATCAGCGTGGCATTTACTGTGCCTATGAACATCAGGGCGCCGCTGCTTGATGATAAATTGATGATTTTATCATCACAATGGCTCTGTTCAGCTGAGCTGGATTAAAGCCGGCTGGTTGTTTTTTCTGATTTGTTGTGAGAGAAAAATCCTGTACCGGCTGGAACGTGAACAGTGTTTTCGAGGAGGAACCAACCGACTCCAGCCAGCCGAACGAAGCCAATGGTTTTCTTATTTCTCACTTGTTCCATAAACTTCTGTAACTTATAATTGTAGGTTGACAGTATGTACTCTGGAGGTTGGCATTCAACTGCACTAGCTGAAGAGGGAGAGGTATTTCCATTATCTTCATCTAAGGCTTGCCATTTTATAGTATGTTTTGTTCTACCAAGCCACCAGATAGCACGAACCCCATGCCATCTACAAGGACCAGGCTATTATCATATTAAGGATCCAGCTTTAATTTTCAACTAGAAGTATACCCCACATATTGCTGCGGGATTTTCTTAAAAATGAATATGTTATATACATAGCATTACTATATGGTATTCTGTGTATACATATATATGAATTTGATTTGCATGTTATTTTATTGTATCAGACCTGGTAAAAAATTAGTAAGCTAATAGAAGAAAAACAAATAAAAATATTTGATTACATTATAGAGAAACAGGTGATGAAACAAATAGCATACATAGATGATTTGTATGTTAATAGACTAAAGATTTAAAGTATTGTACATGATAGAGATGGCATGGACATTTTTCATAATTAATAAGGGATGATATGGATTTAGTGAGGAATGATGTGGACACCTTGCATGAAGAGATAGAACATTTAGTGGAGTCACTTAGTGGGGATGATGTGGACACCTTATATGAAGAGAGAAATTATCTAGTGGGTTTAGCTTTATAAGAGTATACAGATATGTTGCTACAAGGACCCGGCTGTGGTATGCAAATAACTCTGCTTTACCATTTTGGTTTAGAGACAAAGCAAGTGTTGCTTGATTGGACAGGATTGTTGAAAAAATATTAGGTGCTTAATTTGAGTTTTTGTTTCTCGGCTTGCTTAAAGTATTTAACCTCTCTAAAAGACTTTGCTCCTGTTTAGTGATTATTTGGAATATGGTTGTTTCCTGATTTTTTAATAAAAAATGATGCAGGCAATGAAGGAAGACAATGCTGAATTTTGACTAAAGATGAATTTCGAATTTCTTGGAACTTTCTGGCGTGTGTATAAAGCTGTTGTAAACCTGTTACTCTCTCTTCTGTGGAACCCGTGAGCTGATAATTCAGCCCGATTCTAATAAAGTTGTTGTAAACTTGTCACTCTTTTCTTCTCCATGAGAAATCCAAATCCTGCATGCTTTTGTTAGCGGAACTCAACCTGATTACAGAATATTCATATTCATAAGATGAGCTGAAGTGTGAACAAACTATTCATCTGATGAACTAAAGTGAGAAATAATAACGTTGAAGAAATGCTGAGATTGCAGATTGCAGTTCAGTCAGAAATTTGGAATCTATATGCTACCTTTTAGTTATTTGATGGTGAATCTTGCCACAGTCATTGTCGCTTGCAATAATAATAACTATGATTTAACTATTTCTATATATTGTTGATGGTGAATCTTCTCACAGACATTCAAGTGGATACCTTATTTTACAGTATAGGTCTACATGGAATAGTTCTAAAGCCACAGATATTTATACGATGATTATAATATACTTTGTTTTAAGGTTTTTCGAGATTTTTTTAAGACACGCAGTATTACCCATGTGACAGCCACTAATATTTACATATATACTCAAACATGTGTACATGATGGTATGAGATGCGGCAGAACTTATTCGTGAATTTATTGGTGCACGAAAAATAGATATCAAAGATTTCTTCCTCCAGATATAAAACATTATCTTAGCCGCATCACGGAAAAGTCTATACAGTAGAGTTTATTAGCCTACGATGCCGCGCTCTCCATGACTGTGTTAATTTCACGAACTTTGTTTTTTTGGATTAAATGTCATTTTAACATTGGTATTT